CCCGTACTATAGCTTTGAACACACTGAAGGTACACACTCCGACTCCTAAAAGAAGCTACATATTGTATCTGAAACTTATACTTGGCCCGGTACAGTATCTCAATTGGAGTATGGAATTTACCCTCAAAGTTTTCTTTGTGGCTATAGCTGTATGACTGCGCTGCCAGCGAGGATCTGATGGGAGGGGGGGTGTGATAGAAGGTCAATGGGTGTGGGTGGGGTAGGGGAGGCCGGGGGAAGGTCAATGGGGGTGGGGGGGGGAAAGGAGACATATGTACTACTATCAGTAATACTTTGAACAATAAAATAAAATAAAAAGCCCCAAAAATAAAAAAATAAAATGAAATAGCTAAAAGAAAAAAAGAAATAAAAAGAAATAAAACCACTCTTGCAGGGATAAATGAAAAGATACATGGGTGCCCAAAATGCAGACGGAGCTCTGTTTCAGTAAGTGACCATCCAGGGACTCCAGCTTGGAGTGATTAATACAGCCTACTTTTCCGAGTATTTTTTGAGCTGTATGCCTGGAAGTGACGTTAATACCACTTAAGATCTATTTGCCTAAGCCTTCTCTCGGCTGGGCTTTGAAGGCACAAATAACCCTTGGCAACAAATACGCTTTCTTCACTTATGAAGACTTCATGCAAGACGAAAGTACTTAATGTACTACTTCTCTGTATCCCTGGCAAGGTGAAATGGTTGGATATGTTTTAAGTTTATACAGTTTGGATTTGGCCAGAGTCTACATAGAAGAATAAGGGTGGCAAATGAGAAAGCAAGGGACCCTTAAAATTAGTTTGCTTGTCTGAATTAGCATGACAATTCTCAGAAAGTTAGTTTGATTTATGATTAGAAAAATATCCCAGTGGCAAAGAAAGCTGATATTAGACATAGTAACATTTAAGTTCTAAAATCATAGAATTAAATCAGGTTCTTTTATAAGAACAGGCCTATTTTCTCTTGTTGCTGTTGCAGTATTGCTTATTAAATAAATTAAAAAAGAAGCCAACTCAGTCTGTTGCTTTTTGTTCTCAGAACTTAGTCTGCTTATTAATAATGGCATCCAATAAATATGTAATTGATCTGAGTGCCTTTCACTTTCTAAAACGAGTCTCTTAAATATAAACCAAAACTTCATGCAAATGCTTTGAAAAGAATTTTATCTTTTTCTTTAGACTTGAGGAATTTTCTTTCTTTATTACTATATTTTTTTGGATTGGCAAGTATTTTTTTTTTTTAGAAAATTTGAACTTCAGCAGAGCTTAGGTCTGAATTAGCAGTAGACTTAAATTTATGGATTCCAAATTAATGGTGTTTCACTATAATTCAAAGAAAAATATATGCGAGATTAGCTTTCAGGCATGGTTGGATGTAGCACGGCTTAGCTAACCTGAGTGTCTTGTGTTTTGCTTTACAGGTAATGCTAAAGTCTGGCCCAAACATACTGTACTGGAGAACTACAGGCATCCTTATGGGTTCTAAGGCAGTCAAGCCAGTTTTGGTAAAAAATATCACAATTGAAGGTATTTTGCAGCAATCTGTTTTAGTAGTCACCTATCACATTTTATATTGAGTTAAATATTGATTGAATTGTCAGTTTGATTGGCCCAAAAGTTTATGGGACAGGAATTAATATGTTAAGTATCATACAGGTGTAGAGGTGCTGGTTTTATTCCTGGAAAGTTGACTGATTTTTTGTTTTTGTTTTGTTTTTTGTTCCTTAAACTGAATTATTTAATCTGTGTGAAAAAGTACACATGATGACAATTTTAGGTGTTTTTAAATAAAAGAAAAATGTCTTTGTTAATAAGAGCCTATTATTCATTTGAGTAATGTCTATAGTGCCAGTCATTGAGCTTACTCAGGTCACTGTTGCATCCAAAAAAATAACAATAAAATAAACATCTTGGCTTGATTATGTCCCAAATCTTCTCTTGTGCTGCTTCTTTATATATATATTTCAGAGAGGAAGGGAGAGAGGAAGGGAGAGGGAGAGAAAGATAGAAACATCAATGATGATTCAGCTGCCTCCTGCATGCCCCCCCCCCCACCCCCTCCCCACAATGGGGATTGAGCCTGCAACCTGGGCATGTGCCCTGACCTGGAATTAAACTGTGACCTCCTAGTTTATAGATCAGTGCTCATTGTGGCCTGGTTCTTGTGCTTCTTTTGAATCAGCTGGGCCTTTGTGGCCTTTGTGGCCCAGGAAAGTGGCCAGTAAACCCTGAAATTATTCAGTCTCAGGGCTACTTATAATTAAAGCAGTGATTCTCCTTGATGAAAGTTTGGCTTGTGTTTTAATATTTTTAAAGTGTACGTGTTCCTGTGATGCTAACTCATTAGTCCTAGGGACATCTGCTGGCAAAGGCTGAAATTACAAACCAGAGGAAAAGTCAAGCCCTTCCTAGGGTCTGTTAAGTCTTGCCAGTGACTTAGTGAGCAGCATAGAAAGGGAACAAACAGGTAGCCACAGAGATCAGAGAATGGTAGCTTGTAGAACTGGAAGGGACCTTAGAGTTTATCCCACTCTGGGTTCGTGGAATTGTCTTTTGACAACTGAGTTTATACATTTACTGTACCTCTAACAAATGCCAATCTCTTGCTTCAGTGTTTGCTCTATTTACTGTGTTTTATTCAATATTTATCCCAGGTACCTGCATGTAGCAAACACTTCGTGGGGTTGAATGAATGAGAGAAAGGATTTGGGCTGAGCTCAGTGTCAATAATGCTCTCTCATTTCTGGTAGAAGCTGAAAGAAGGTGCTGATTTGCTCACTTCTGTTGGGTCCCTCCATGCTCTGTGTGTTAATATCCCACAGGAGTGGCATACACATCAGAATGCTTTCCATGCAAGCCGGGCACCTTCAGCAATAAACCAGGTTCGTTCAACTGCCAAGTGTGTCCCAGAAACACCTATTCTGAGAAAGGAGCCAAAGAATGCATAAAGTGTGCAGAGGACTCCCAGTTTTCAGGTGGGTCTGATCTTTGCCAATTTATACTCTATGTTCTTTTCTTTTTAAATGTACATTTGTTGAGTGTATAGACCTAAGCCAGATGTCACATATAAGTGGGACAGGAACAATGGGCTAGACACAAAAGTGCTGAAGTGAATCAATATTGAGTGGATAAAATTACTTTTACCCCTTTCTTCATGACTTTTCCTTTTGTCTGTAATTTTTTACTATTTCATACTTCACAGGTAACTGCTTGAGATGTGTTTATACTAATCTGGATTCATGCCGTACTTTTAGATGATTTGTGGACATAGAGATATATTTAGAAACTTTTCATTTGTTCCAAATTTACAATTTTAATGATAATAGAATATGTCTAACATCTTCTTGGAAAAACTGTGATATGTCCCAGGTGTATCATGGAAACACTTATTGCTCTAGTGAAAATAAAAATGTAAGCCCTTATCTTCTTTAGGCCTAGCTAGTTGTACCTAAATTCCTCTGGTAAGGTTATTTTTACTTTTTAGTTATTTCTCTTTTGTTTGTTTGTTTATTTTGTTTTTTGCCCTTTCTTAGAGTCACAAAGGACTCATTTCTGAAATGCATTTGTTGTTGTTGTTGTTGCAGAAGAAGGATCTGGCGAGTGTATGGAGCGCCCTCCCTGTACCACAAAAGACTATTTTCAGATCCACACTCCATGTGATGAAGATGGAAAGGTATTGGCAGTGTTCAGTGCACTCCATTTCATGTTTATTCAGCCATCTTCCCAATTTTAGCAGACTTTTACTTGTTGATGAGAGAGTTGAATGAGCTGATTTATAACACATGTATCTAAAGTAGTTCAGAGGAAATTTAATAATTTATCTTCTGAAGCCTGCCTTCTTGGCTTTGATTTTCCAATCTACTAATTAGTGCTGTGGGCAAGTTATTGGCTGTGCCTAAGTTTCAGTGTTTTCATTAGTAAAATAGGGATAATCTCTGTACCTATTTCCTGAGGCTGCTATGAGAATATGAGCTATTCAATGGAAGGTTCCTAGCACAGTGCCTGGCACATACTGAGTGCCCAATAAATCCCTGCTATTTTTTTAACAGTCATATGTTTTAAAAAGTAATACTTTCAGGGGTAGCACAGCCTTAAAATGTGTCCTGTGACTCACAGGATGGAAATCCAGTAAGTCCTCACTTTAACATTATTGATAGGTTTTGAGACTTGAAGTGAACCAATTTTACTCTAGGCTAATTGATATAAACAAGAGTCAACAATGTTATAATGAAACCACAAAGGATATTGAATGAAACGACTTTACTTGGGGACCTGTTGTATCCTGTAACTTCTCTTTAATTACTTGGTTTCTCAGTAGGTTTTGTCAATAAAAAAGCCGTGCAGCCATTGGCTAATTTAGTCATGGCAGATTGCTGTGTAATTGCATTTAGAAAATGCAAAGTAATTACCATATAAACAACACTGAGCCAGAGGAAAAATGCACACATGAACTCGGCAGCTGACCTGCCGTTCTCTTAATTAAAAAGTGTCAGCCTACACTAGCCTATTCAGTAGGAGAAGTTGAGATTAAAGTGGGTATGATGCAACATGCTTTCTGTATGTTTGCATCTTCAAAATCATGACAGTTAATATCTTGACCTAATTTGGAAAATCCACATAGATGCCAGTATTGCTTTATTTTCTTAATCTGAGGTCCTAATCTCTAATTTTATACGTATATGGTTATTGTACTTACCCTTAGGTCTTAAGTTCTTTTTAAGTAGTTTACTTTTACTGCTTAAGATTAGACCACATTCCTGGTCTTGATGGACCATAAAGGGTTTGCCAGTGTTTTGGTATCAGATTATCTAGCACTTTTCCTTACCTTTAACAAACTTCAATGTTATAAAGTATTCCAAATGCTTAAGGTCTGTAACAGTACTTATGAATTATATAGCAGGAGTAAGATATAGGAGACATTAAAATTAGCGTATAAAGGATATGGCTTTAGATCTGCCTTTCTTCCTATATGATCTAAACAAGTCAAACACATTCGTCTCTTAGGATGATGGGAAAACAACATGACCTTTCTCAGTGATTAGGGATTTCTGCATTTGTTTAAAATAAAAACGTTATTATAATCGTCTTTAAAATCTTTAAAAAACAGTTTTATTGAGATGTAATTCTCACATCATATAATATATCCTTGAAGTGTCAATTCATTGTTTTTAGTATATTCACCCCAATCTAATTGTAGAAAATTTTCTTGCCTACAACCTTGGCTAGAATTTTCAGTACAATGTCAAACCCCATGGTGTCTTAACATAAAGGAAGAAGAGGACCGAGTAGGTAACCACAAGGGGAAAGAGATAACAGCAAAGGCTTCATAGATAAGGAACCCAAGTGACTGCCGGTATGTAGATGGGTGCATTGAGGAAGTGCTCAGAGCCCATGTGGATGTTGAGCATGGCTTTGAAGGCAGGAACAGGCAAAGCAAGGCAGAATGGTGCGGGTGACTGCAAGAGAGACCAATGATGAGTTCCCGGTGGGTTACAACCAGAAAGGATCAAGGTTTGGGAGAGGCAGACAGGCAAGCAATAGCCTAGTTGGGAACATCTGAGCTGTAACATGATGAAGCCCAAGGCTGTCAGGTTGGAGTGGTCCTTGGTAGATTCTTTAAAAGCACATGTAATTAATCTCTGATGAATTCAGCCAGTCTACAAAGCCTTGGTGCATTTGTGCAGGGACGTTTGAAGGAGGAAAGTCATGGACAAATTCGGTCTCAAAATTCATCTAAAGTTTAGTCCTCCCCGTCTTGAATTTTATTTCAATGTAAGAACCAGCTTCCAATTGATACCTCCATGTGTATTGTGTGTATCAATAAATTTTTTTTATTCATACTTAATAGAAATACACTTGGAAACTATAGTTCTTCTGTAATCTTAATAGCAATCTGGTAAGTTTTGCTCTATTAAGGTTTTGGTTTCATAAAACATTTCATAATTTTATCTCAAGTTGCCAAAGAATGAATTGATTGTTGGTTTTTCACCTTCACTGTGAGCCATCTGGTGCTACAAATCATTAATATTGCTTATTAGCTTTTCCCGTCAGCCAGACTTGAAAGCATCTGTCCCCGTTAGAAAGAGAGGAACAGAATCAGTCTGCCATGTGAAGCAAGGCGTTGCGAACAAAACTTTTACTGCAGAGAATTTAAAATCTGACTTCTAAATGTTTGCATGTTTGAAGGTGGTGCACATTTTCTGATTTTTAAGCATCAATTGTGCTTGGATTGCAAAGCATGTGGTTAGCTAACCTCTTGAAAATATATTTGCATATTTTATTATTTTTACGATTTCCAAATGCATTCTCCTTGACTCATGTTACTTTACCATTTACTAGCTATGTATAACTGTGGAGCAATAAACTTGAGGATAATAATAATACTGACCTCCCAAAGTGGGGGGAGGGGGGAAGATTACATGGTGGGCCCCCATGGTCAGTCCTCAGTGCACAGCCTCAGAGCTCTGCCCACTCCCATGTGGGAACCAACTATTCCCAACACTGCAGTAACTCACACACAATGCATTACAATTTTAATTAATGTCAAAAATAAATCAGCAAATTTTTGAATTGGCAAAGATTAGAAAGTTGTTTTCTGTACTTGTTAAGCGAGAATTTTAAAAAGATGATCTCCCCAATATGATGATATTTTTGCTTACATTCTTGGAATTTTATATTGCCTTTCTCGGGGGAGTTGGGAAGCCCTTTTGGATAAAGGATCTAATTTATTTTTTCAGCTATTTAGGAAGCTCCAGCAGGAACGACCATCGTTTTACAGATGGTAAGGGAGAGGCAGATGGGTGAAGTGGCTGGTTAGACTGTTTCATGATTGTAGGCATAAAACGAACGTGGAAAGAGAGAGTTGTAAAATGAAAAAAAAGTTATTTATAATTCTGTTGAGACATTTATCTAACTTTTAAAGTGTTTTCTTGAGCATCCTTCTTCAGACAAGATAGTTTACTCTTCCATAAGAGAATACTTGAGTTAAAATTGAGTGGCCTAAAGGGTTTAATATATATGATTTTCTATTAACTGAAAATGGCTATAGAGAATTGCCTTTAATTTTGGTCCTCCAGCTTCAATATTAGGCTTATTATTGCAGAAATTGTTTTGAAAGAGAAAGATATGTTGAGCAGGTTATATGTCTAATGAAGGAAGCTATTAATTTCTTTTTAAAAAAGCCATATTTAGCTATGAAAAATTTACTTAATTTTCTCTTTGCATTTAGAATACCTTTCCCCCCACTGATAATACCAATTTTGCTTTTGAAATGGCAAACCCATTTAATGGTTTGGTTTCAAAAGAGAATAATTTTATAATTACAGTGTTCTGGGTTTGGCTGAGTCATAGCTAATTTTGTTTCATTTCGTTTTGTGTGGGGGTGTATGAATGTGTGAGGAAGAATGAAAGGATAAGGTTTAAAGGACTGCCCTCTCTGAAATTAGAGGCTGTCTTTATCATTTTTTAAATTTTATATATTGATTGATTTGAGAGAAAGAGAGAAGAAAGAAGGGTAGTTACAGGGGTCTGTTCAGCTAGATTTCAGGTGGTTCTGAATAACGGTAGTTCCGTAGTTTAGTTGTAATTTTGATGTAGCCCTAGGAGGATGCCAGTACTGTGTTTATTTATACTACCACCTTGACTGGAAGCCTGGAGGCTGTCTTAACCCTGATGTTCAGTGCACATGCCGGAGGGCCTAAAACCCTTAGGAGAAAATATCTTAGCTACAGGTCTTGGAGTCTAATATTATGTTACTGGAAAAGATCCAGAGAGTAACTACCAATATTTTTGAAATAATAGGATGAAAATGTGAAGCTAGACATATTCTTCTTTAAAAATAATTTTTTTTATCACTATGTGGAAAGGTTGGTGGTGGGTACTGTGGTTGAGGGAGAGGGAGAGAGTAGTGCAGGTCTCAAAGTGAAAAATAGAGTCTCTGCATAGAAACTTACTTGGTTAAGGAGTAAATAAAGTGAGTGGATAGAAGAGTAAGGGCCATAATCACCATATCTGTATTTTAAAGAGGAATTTCATGATGAGGAACATGATCTGTCTGAAGTATAGCCACCTTTAGTTTAAGGCAAAAATACTTGGAAATAATGGTCGTTTGTCACTAAAGTTTTATTTATTTTTGGGGAGTCTCATTTTCTTACTAATGTTTTAGATTGTCTTTATTTGGCTCTTCTAGTCTATCACTATTTGGAATTTTTCTAGGCTGTCCGTTTAACATTTGTGCTATTGGAAGTTTAAAGCAAATAAAGGATATTAAATGACTTACAAGCCTTTTTTTTTGCAGACACAGATAATGTACAAGTGGATAGAGCCCAAAATCTGCCGGGAAGATCTCACAGATGCTATTAGGTTGCCCCCTTCTGGAGAGAAGAAGGATTGTCCACCTTGCAACCCTGGATTTTATAACAATGGATCATCTTCTTGCCATCCCTGCCCTCCTGGGACGTTTTCAGATGGAACAAAGGGTAGGATATCAGTTAGTCCAATACTCGGACCTTTAGCATACTAATCTTGTTGGACTCCTGTAACTTTGTTCTAATTGTTCTTATGAAATCATTCTTTAAAACATACATTTTTTTTCAGAGACTGAAGTAGAGTTGAGAAATATGATAATGGTATCATGAGACTGCAGTGGTTTATTTAACATATCGTAAGGATTGCTTTTTAATGGCATTTTGTGTAAGACACTCTTATGGGATGACTCTGCCTTTGGGTAGTGATAAGAAGTTCCACCATATTAAACAATTAAGAATAAGCACTTCATTTGCAGAGTATGTGTACACAGATATTGATGCAAGCATAAAATATAATGTCTTCTAATTCAGCTTTATATTGGAATAATAAGTCACATTTTGTGCAATAATATAAAAACTTGCTCATTTTAATCATATAGCATATTATATTCCCTAAGTAAATTGTTTCAAAGTATGTAGTTGGGAAAATTTTAGTACTTACCAAATAATGTCGAAGGTGGTTAGAGAATTTGTTTTAATTTTGGTAGACAGGGATTACAGTGCATTTTAATTGCAGATTTCTTACTGGAATATAACCATGCAGCATACTTAATATCCTGCGCCTTTGAGAAATAACATGAAAAGGACTTAAGAGTCAAATTGTCTTGGGTTTGAGTCCATATCTGGCAGGCTACCAATAGTGTTATCTATTCAAGTTACTTAAACCTTTTGAACTTCAGTTTTCTCATCTAAAAATTATGGGTAATAATATCTAGCTCATCATTACTGAGCAGGTTATATAAAAATGTCTCCTGCAATACTTTGGTACCAGAAGTGTTTGCTCAGTGAACATTTTCTCTCCCTACCCCTTCTCTTACTGATGTGATAATGCAAAGTGTCTTGGGTAAATAAAAAAAATGGTTAGAAAAGACCCTTCCATTTCAATAGAGCAGATGTTAATTTAAATCAGGTTTACTCATAAACCTTAACTCTTTCCAAACCCCTCAACTCCTAGTATTTTTTTAACATTTAACATTTTGAAGTTTAATGTTTTGAACTTCAAATAATCAATCCATAATTAAATTGCATGATATGCTGTTCCATTTAATAACCAATAGGAAGTGTGAAATGTTTACTTATTCATGAGGTGAAGGGTACTGATTCTAAAATCACACGTAAGAGAACGTGTTTCAGACTTACTCTTCTTGTAGGGGATAATTCAGTCGTGGCAGTTACTCCCAGAAATGAGGGGGAAATCACTTTAAAAGATTTTATATTTTTCCCTTTTCATGTAAGTCAAGTATATATGTGTATAATGTATTCAGAATTATTTTTCTTTCCAGATTGTTTTTGAAAAAGTTATTAATTCTTCAGGGAGTTGATGGCTCAGGATCTCTCCTTCCCACTTCCCTCTCTGCTAATTAAAATTCAGCAGTGCTTGGAACAAAGGGAGACGAAGTTGTCAAGATGCAGTTTAACAGTCACTGTTTGCCCCACTTGTCTCCTGCAGAATGTAGACCATGTCCAGCGGGAACAGAGCCTGCCCTTGGCTTTGAATACAAATGGTGGAATGTCCTTCCCGGCAACATGAAAACCTCCTGCTTTAATGTTGGGAATTCAAAGTGTGATGGAATGAATGGTGAGTTCAAAGTCAGCCTCTTGGATGTATTTTGGCAGCAGAGACATTCAGTTTCAGCTCTTTACAAACATACTACCTGTGGGTACGAGAAACTTCAATCTTATTTGGCTGCTTGCCCATCTTCGGGCCCTCACATAAAAATAGTAATTGTGGTGTTACAGCCGGATGACTTTCCAAAGGAATATAAGCTATTTTGCATTGGGGTCAGTGGAGAGATAGATTGAGGAGGACCAGTTATGGTTCTAAATACCAGAGTAGATTCCCAAGGGAAGTAATGAAGTCTATGACATTTGCCACTTTGAAGGGTAGTGTGGCAGCATTTCTGCCTGGATTAGTTTGTTCTGGCTCAGCACTGAGCTGTGGTGAGAGGTTGTTAAATCATCTCTATCTCTTTTTGCCTATGAAGTCTGTGACCCTGATTACAAACTACTGATGAACCCCACTTACTGAAAACTTGAAAACATGACAGAGTTCTATAGGATGGTTGCTGAATGTTCTTACATTTTAAGTTCTTAGAGAGCTTAGCACTTAGTCGTGCCTATGGTATATTGGTTGTTTCTGTGCAGAGGACAGATTCCCCCGCCACCCCCCATCACCTTCTATGTACATCTGTATCTCCCATACTCTTGACAATTGTAGTGTGTGTGTCTCTCTCTCATATTCTTCTGAATCTTCAGTGAGGTAGAACCTAGTCTTGTCTTTCTATCCCTAGTGCATATCATGGTTCTTAGCACTCAGTGCCAATTGAATGAGTGGATAAGTGAATGAACGTAGATCAAGAGTTAAATTTGGGAACAACAATATAGAAAACTATAAAAAATAACTCCAGACTTCAGATCTTCTTCATTAAGTAATTTGAGGTTTCTATTTCTCATTGGCTACCTGGAGACTAGGATTTTCTATCTTATTGTATTAGAATGAATGAAGACCATCTGTTTTAGTTAAAAAAAAGATAGTCATGCCTCACTGAGAAATAGTTTTCTCATTAAATAACTTTTATGCAAAAATATGCATTACTTGATTATTTCTGAGGAATCATAAGGAATGTCTTTATTGGTAGGTAGGAGTCTACCTCTATGTGTAATTTGCAACTTCAATGTAAAAATAGGGAATTCTTTTGAAGTATTTCTAACTTTGAAACACTACTGGTCTTTTTGTAACTTCATTTAAAAATTGTTAGAAATCAATAATGGAATTTTTACTAATAAAGATGATCTTTGTCATTTCCAGGCTGGGAGGTGGCTGGAGATCATATCCAGAGTGGGGCTGGAGGTTCTGATAATGATTACCTGATCTTAAACTTGCATATCCCAGGATTTAAGTAAGGAAAACCCATTCTATTTCCTTCTGTAAGAACCCTCATGCCTGTTTCCCTCTAGAAATAGATGGAGTAGGACTGCCTTTATAAAATATATTAACACTGTGATATCCTTAGCAAATAGCAAGTAGGGTAATATGTTTAAGAATATCTATAGAATCAGTGATTGAGAAACTATCACTATAATTGTGTATTAGATGAAGCTGAAAGGTTTAAACAATATTTTATCCAAATGTTACAATAATCATGATTTTTTGGATGCTTAATGAGGATATCTTAGTCCAGGTTATATGCAGTAGTATCTTATAGTTTATATGTTTATTTTTCTCTATTAGCATGTCACACATTTTAAAATCTCATTTTGCTTTAATCTTCCATGTTGAAATTTCCCGTAGGTGTCTTTTGCTTTAGGATGGGTGGTAGCCTTTATACCAGGAAATTCAAGCACAGTAACATGGTTGTGGAGACTCCATTTATAACAAAGGGTATGGCCAAGCAGAGATTGAGTGAGGAAAGAGTTGGGCTGTAGGGAGCAGTAGATTAGGGGATGAGGAGAGCATGGCTTTCAGCTTAATGTAAAAAGTGATAACTTTGTTCCAGATTGTATTTAGAATGCACTATAATATTGTAATTTTAATGTCAAATAGACCACCAACATCTATGACTGGAGCCATGGGTTCTGAATTGGGAAGGATAACATTTGTCTTTGAGACCCTCTGTTCTGCTGACTGTGTTCTGTACTTCATGGTGGTAAGTGAAAGAGTGGCTTTCAAAGGCCTATTTAGAAATCTAGAAGCTTAGCATTCTCTTTCAAGTGTGAATTTATTTATACAAGTTGGGATAAGAATCCTATTTTTCTTTCCATGCTTAGTCCCTTACAAAAGCATTTAAAAATGTCTAAAGAAGTCACTAAGAATTGTGAAATGACACCCACAAAGAAAGCATTTGTTCCTTGTGGGAAGGACTGAGGGGACCCTGGCAAATGACAGAAGTCAGAGAATATTAATCTGTTAGAACATTTCTTCATAAAAACATGCCACCAGCAGAATGAAAAATTTCCCCAATAGCAGTTAAAGCCATCAGGAAGGAAAAACATGTATTAGTAAGTGAGGGAAGAAAGTAATGTTGTTGTGGACACTTGGAAGAAAGAAAACACTACCTTGTTAAATTTAATCAATGTTGCCCGGCCGCAGTGGCTCAGTGGTTGAGCATTTACCTATGAACCAGGAGGTCAGGGTTTGATTCCCTGTCAGGGCACATGCCTATTTTGCGGGCTCAATCCCCAGTAGGTGTTGTGCAGTAGGCCAATCAATGATTCTTTCTCATTATTGATGTTTCTGTCTCTCTCTCTCCCTTCCTCTCTGAAATCAATAAAAATATATTTTAAAAAATTTAATCAATGTAGACAATGGACTTTACAATGTACATGTCATAATTTTGTCCTTTTTTTCTAGATATCCTATAAATCTCAACTCTTAGCTTAAAATTTCCTGGGGCTCATGTGGATATTAAAAGGTTGTTTGTTAAGATTTTAGCGTTATAATTAAGAAGTGACTGTATAGGCATGATTTGTTTTTGTTTTTCCAAAGATCCTTTAATAGCTAGTTAAGAGTCCATTAACAATTTCCTCCATGACATACAAGATACATGGAGATTTAAATATTTATTCATGCTTCCTAAGAGCTTAAATGAAGACAAACTGTTTTGTTCTGAAAAAAAGAAAATGGCTTCATGGTGGTAATAGGAGATCATAAATAATCTTCAACACATCCATCTATATTATACCACAAATAGCCAGTAAGTCTTCAATTCTCCCACCTCTGCCTCCTTAGTCCTTTAGTGTTAGTTCTTCTTCATTCTCAGAGCCATTCCTATTATCTTTGAACAGTAGTCTCCTATCCATTCTTCTTATCTCTATTCTGTCATCCATGCTGCTGTCAAAATATACAGACTGTCAAAATACAGCAGGAAGGCCGGGGAGGGTTGGGGGCAGGGGCGGGGTAAGAGATCAACCAAAGGACTTGTATGCATGCATATAAGCATAACCAATGGACACAAGACACTGGCGGGTAGGGGAGGCCAGGGGAAGGTCAAGGGGAGAAAAAAAAAGGAGATATATGTAATACTCTTTGTAATACTTTAAGCAATAAAACACATATATTTTTTAAAAATATCTTTAGAAACATAAAAATAATAGTAGAGGCATCCACATCAAGCTACCCCCTTACTCTTAGTGGCTTTTTGTTGCCTGTAGTAGCAGTTCTTGAAGTGTGGTCCCTGAACCAACATCACCTGAGAATTTGTTAGAAATGCAAATTTCTGAGCCCCATCCTACTCTTAATGGAAAACTCTGGTGATGGGGCCCAGCATTCTCTACTTTTAGCAAACCTTGAGGGTAGTTCTGATACACACTAAAGTTTGAGAACCAATAGCCTATAAATACACTTAAAATTCTTTAGCCTGGCCTCTGTAAGGCTTTTTCTACTTTTTGCCTACCCTCTGTTACTAAACCTACTGTGAGTTTTCACACCTTTTTAGACACCCTGAATTTGATAGTGGAGCACCTGGTACTTTTTAATTTTCTTGCCTTGCTACTCTAGGTTTGAATGACATTCTTCCTTATGCTCTTTTGCCTGGTGAACACCTATCCATACTTCAAAGGCAGCTCAAACTTTACCTCTTTGGGGAATATTTCTTTGATTCCTTTAAGTAAAATGAACAACTCTCTCCAGTGTGCTCCTGAAAGCCTTTTGAGAAAACCCTTTTTTGGTTATGTGAATATATATATATATATTTATTTGGTCTTTCTCATTTGAACAAACACTACTAAGTGTAGGTTTTACAATTATTTATTTTGATAAATCAAAACTGGAGTTTTAGCTCATGGCAGAATCTGTTAGCTGTCTTTGTGTGTGATTTGGTGTTCTCACAGGATTTTTTGAGATATCAATGAAATAGCATATAAAAATGCTTTCAAAATTGTGTAGTGTTTTACATAAATAAAGTGTTAGTTGTAGTAATGCAATAAATTCAATTTATTATTGGAATAAACATCCAAAGAAATGTTATTTACAGAGCACTATCTGCATATTATGAACTCCTTTTAGGAAATGGCATGTATGATGATTTGAATGTTTAGTAATGTGGGAATTCTGTAATGTATGAAAAGCACATTTTGTTGCTTCTGTCTGTGGCATGAACTCAACATGCATCTCTTTATAGCAGATTTGATTTCTTTATAACATGTTTGACTCCTATGTTTATATCACAGAAAGAAAAGAGACATGTATTGAGCTCATGCCACCATATTGTTAACATCCCAGATAATTCACAGAAGCCCATTCAGAATTCTAGGTCATGTATTAGGGGGTCTGCAGGAAAGGCTAATAAGAAAATTCAGGATTAGTCTTGGTTTTAATTTCTAATAAATTAGATATGTATTACATTATTTGGCTGATTTATTATATTTGCTTTCTAACCATGTTAATGATGACATATTTGTTGGAATATCACACATTTGTATGGTATTCTAAATATTGAATTTAACCAAGGAAATCAGAAATAACTATTACACAAATTAATCCTACTGAAGTTAAAGCATAATCAAAAAGAATATTTCATGAACGTAAACTAACATTCTGATTAATCTGCACTTGGGTAAGCCAGGAAGTTGCAAGTATAGAACAGGGAGAACTTACAATTTCTATGTAAGAGCTGCCTGTCAGCATCTCCCAAGGAAAAAGATAAAAATAGAAAGCCTTGCCATTTTATGAAGTTCACTGTGAGAAGTTTGAGGAATTATGTTTCCCCTTCTAAGTATATTTCTCCAAGGTAGAAGTTCACACCCCTACATGCGCATACTCATGCATACACACACACACACACACACACACACACAACCCCCCTTACACATACTATGATTTGAGACCTTTTTCATGTTACATTGACAATGTGGTTGATATATTGTAATTATTAAGCTAGTGCTTGTGTAGATTTGAGAGAAAGTTTTGAGAATTAATTATAGGGTTACATCTCTGTAGATAAATATTTACAAACCCTGCAGGGTACGCTGTAAATACAAACACATATTTTTAATGAATACACATGTGTATTAATACTGAGTTTATGCTTTTCTGTGTATATTTTTAAAGGATATTAATAGAAAAAGTACCAACGTGGTGGAATCATGGGGTGGAACCAAAGAAAAACAAGCTTACACCCACATCATCTTCAAGAATGCAACGTTTACATTTACATGGGCATTCCAGAGAACTAACCAGGGGCAAGATGTAAGTTCCAAGTTATTATTATTATTTTTAATATGAAGATGATGCTCCAGTGGAGATATATAGAAAGTGATCACTCGAATCTCCTGGAGGAAAAGATAGCTTTTATTGATGTGGAATCAAGCGTTTGGTTATGGAGTAGATTGGTATAAAAATGGTTATTTTTTTGAGAGCAAGAATGTATGAAATGGAATAATACAGTGGATCTTTGAACTGTTCTACACTGTGAACAATTATAGTTACTGGAAGCTTAAGAGAAAGAACATCTAATTTTTTTTTAAAACCTTACTTTTAAAGCTTTCTGAGACTCTGAAAAGACTAGTGACTTACTTCCTCTTCATCTGAATGATCAGGCATTTGTTCAGGAGGCATTAACAGATTTTGGTTTATAATTTCATTACAGTAATGTCTTCTTTTATAGCCTGGAGAATGTGTGTGGACACAGGATTGGGTTAACACAGAGAATTATTTACCCTCTTTCCCTGATAGGGTAGACCTTCATCCTCCACTAAGTAAATCCCATTGTATGTTTCAATAGTAGCAAGATTATTGTGTTTGTGAATCTCCAAAGATGTGAACTTCCCAACTTGAGAACAAGGTAAACCACGAGTTCAGAAGCTGCCTCGAAAGCTAAGGTGGCAGATGTAGCATTTTCTCTTGAGGCTTTCACTGGGGAACCCACTCCCCAGATTTTACTGGCCTCCAATTTTGTTATTTACGAGTGTTCAGATTACCATTATGCAGGGCATGAACATGCTAGGGATACTTCCTTGCCTTCTTTTTGCTTTGCTCCACACAAAGAGCATTGAGTCTAGAGTAGTGCTGCCCTGTACTGATAGGGTGATGCCCACTGCTTGATGAAAATGAGATCTTAATTGATCCATTATCTCAGTAAGGAAAAGTATAAAGTAAGCCACAGATTCTTGCTCTCCTTTGCAAATTCTTTCAGTAGAAAACAAAGAATCTTGATTAGGAAAAGTACTAGAGAGAGAGAGAGAGAGAGAGAGAGAGAGAGAGAGAGAGAGGAAGGCCCAAAGAGGTCACGTGATTGCATCAATATTGCACAATTAGTGTTAGGGTAAGGGCCAGGGTCTTAGTCTTCCAAGGCTAGTCCATGGCTTCTGCCCGCCAACACTGTTGGCATCTATTGTAGCATTAGGTTTGGGTTCCTATCTTGAGTAACTGGGAGATAAACGATGCTAATTCTGCTAGGTGTAAAGTCTATAAAATACGCCCGAGTTAGTACCAATTATGACATATCTATGGTGACTGTGACAAAACTCCTGGGACTCCATTACTGTGGACTTAACACATTCTAGTGTTAAGATTTTCAAAGAAAAAATAACAACAGCCCTGACCAGTTTGGCTCAGTGGCTAGAGCGTCAGCCTGTGGACTGAAGAGTCCCAGGTTCGATTCCGGTCAAGGGCATGTACCTTGGTTGCAGGCACATCCCCAGTAGGGGGTGTGCAGGAGGCAGCTGATCGATGTTTCTCTCTCATGGATGTTTCTAACTCTCTATCCCTCTCCCTTCCTCTCTGTAAAAAATCAATAAAATATATTTTAAAAAAATAACAACAACAAACCCAATAATATTGATCCATTGTCAGTTATAAACTATATGGCTGGAGCACTCTGCTTATTTTGGTGATATCAACATAAAGCAGTTTGATTGTCCAATGAGCCCCAAAGCAGAAGTCATTAGTTTCTGCTTTCTTTTTAGAATAGACGGTTCATCAATGACATGGTGAAGATTTATTCTATCACTGCCACTAATGCAGTTGATGGGGTGGCATCCTCATGCCGTGCCTGTGCCCTCGGTTCTGAACAGTCGGGCTCATCGTGTGTCCCCTGCCCCCCAGGCGACTACATTGAGAAAGAAACCAACCAGTGCAAGGAGTGTCCACCTGACACCTACCTGTCCATACACCAGGTCTATGGCAAGGAGGCTTGTATTCCGTGCGGGCCTGGGAGTAGAAGCACTCGGGTAAGTGAGTCTACTTAAAGAGAGAAACTCAGAAGTTCCCTGTAATGTTTCTTCAGGAGCTACAAGGTTGTTAGTGATATTTACAAATGATTTTTTCACTCCCTTTCTCGTTTTCTCTCCTTTTACATTTATTGATACTACATTTGTTAATATGTTCCATGTAAGTGCTAGTTTCTGGGGACATACAATTTTAAGAAAAGCACTCAAATAAGAATTCTTTCAAAAATATTAAATTTCTTGTGGTTCTGTTAAGGCGGGACAAGAAAACAATCTCTGTAGGTGGGCAATAGGAACATGCAGAGAGCAGCCAGTGTGTCTTATAATATTGTAAGGGCAAAGGTTGATGCTACATTTTGAATGAAGGAGAAAGCAGTTTTACTGTCTATTTAAACTGACCTAACAGGGACGTTTGACTGTGCAAATACCTTTCTACAAGATACTAACCTTGGAATAACTACTTTGAAAAGTTCTGAATCTTCTAAACTTTGCCTAAGAATATCTAGTTAGTTTATAGAAATTCTCTGTAGTAGTATGGTAAAATATATTATGATGAAGATGAAATTACTGAAATAGATCTTAAACTAGGACTTTTTTTGAAACACATTTTTCATAGTAACTAATACTTTCTTTCCTGCTATATTATTAAAAATTTTTTACATTTCTTAATCTTAATCAAAGGACCACTCCGCTTGCTATAGTGACTGCTTTTTCTACCACGAGAAAGAAAATCAGAGTTTGCACTATGACTTCAGCAACCTCAGCAGCGTGGGCTCGTTAATGAATGGCCCCAGCTTTACCTCCAAAGGAACAAAATACTTCCATTTCTTCAATATTAGTTTGTGTGGGCATGAGGTGAGTTCTGGCTGCAGAGGTGAGATGGAGCTATATTTCAACTCAGAGTGAGTTAATATTTTCTATGTTGATGGCCCAGTAAATTCTCTATGGAAACTGACACCCACATGTCAGAAACAGCTTTGATCGCTTAAGTCCTCTGTTGCCTCCTAGCATGTTGGTTGGCAGCTTTCTCCACCAGGGGCAACCTTGCCTGGTTCTCAGTCCATCAAAGCACTCATCCAGTCTCTTGAACCCCAAACCTTGGAGCTATGGTCTAAGTGCTTTGAGGATCTTTTGTTTGTGTAAAAGTGGATCAGGCTTGTCATCTCTCCTATTTTTTAGGCAGGCAGTTATAGTTTGAGAAAGTTTTACTGTTTTTATAATATTGCCAATTTTGTGTCTTAAAAAGTAAAAGACTTCCAAGAGAAAGTTGATCCAGGAGTAGAAAGGAGTTAAGCAGGAGACAAATGTCAGTTGATCAGATAGCCTCTGCTAATAAACAATGGGGTTTTCTTTTCTGTGGGAAGAAGCAGACCTTAACTGACACTGGTAATGGGGAGAGTTACAGGACTATATGTTCAATATTTTTTAGGGCATACAAGGTTGGGATTTCCACCATGTCTCTTTCTATATTAATTCCTGATTATCTAATAATGGTCTTCATTATGACGGCTGTGCCAAACTTTGTACAAAGAAAATAGAGATTTAATGATCACATAAATTCTTAAAAAATCTATAAATTTTACATGGCATGACATTTGTCCTGTCCTAATTTTATGTACTCAGTTGGTTAGTTCCTCAGTTTACTCAAAAATATATATTAAGTATCTATTATGTTTATTAGTGTATAAAGCAGTGAATGAAATTAATTCCATTATATATCACACTTCTTCTTAGTCTTATTCCTGTATTACCACTGTCTGTTCTTCCATCTTGTCTCTTCTCCTTCTTTCTCTTTTTCCCCACTTTATATTCTCACTCCTTTCTGTGTACTGTTGACTTTCTCTTTCCTTCCTTAGTAGTATATTTCTGCTCTTTTCCACTTTTCTCTCTTTTTGGCTTCAACAATTTAATTTGAGCTTAGTAAAAATATGTTGCACCTGTATTGTGGTGAGAAGGCTTGGTGGAGGGAAAACATTTCATAGGTTAGGACAGCCATGGGCACACTACGGCCCGCGGGCCGGATCCGGCCCGTTTGAAATGAATAAAACTAAAAAAAAAAAAAAGACCGTACCCTTTTATGTAATGATGTTTACTTTGAATTTATATTAGTTCACACAAACACTCCATCCATGCTTTTGTTCTGGCCCTCCGGTCCAGTTTAAGAACCCATTGTGGCCCTCGAGTCAAAAAGTTTGCCCACCCCTGGGTTAGGACTACCAGCTGCATTAACAAAGTGAAATCTTGATTCTTTTCTTTATGCCCACGTGTGCACACTCTACATCTAAGACCAATAAACTAGGTTCCTATTTTCCTTTGTACATTTCTTCATAGAAATAATAGAGCAAGCTATAGTCCTTTGCATTGGGACTATAGTATATTTAAACATTATATTTAAAGAGTCTTCCAATTTTTATAAATTATATCTCCCAACTATCCCCCAAATGATTATGAAAATAAACCTTTGTGTTCCCTTAAACTTACTGTGTAGTTGAGCAGATACATGTCCTTGAATCTAAGAGTATGTGAATAAAGACACTTGTTGTGACCAACTGTTTACAATTTTGATGTTGTCTTAGGATTCTGTGGCAATATGGCTTTTATGTTTCTTCTTCAGCCTTCACATCACCTTTCTGGCACACATCAGCCTATGAAGTGCAAGTCTTTTTCTTGGCATCAGCAGTTTTCTGGTCTCTTTGCATGCATTGTTATCCTATGAATTGAAGAGTTCATAGATGACTTATACTTCCTTATGTTAGATGGCTTTCATCCACCACAAATGATGCTTGCAGTTGGAGGGGGAATGCAGCCTTGAATTAGTATATTCATCATAACCTCAGTGACTCTCATCCCTGGTTGAAACATTAGAATAGCCTCAAGAGCTTTTAAAAAATACTCGTGGCTGGGCCTCCCACCAGATCTAATAAATCAGGATTGCGATGAGGAGAGAACCACTGCCCTACTCGAGTCACTGGCTAGCTGTGATCCAGTTTAAAGAGTGACCCCCAATAAAACTTCTTTATGAATTCATTTTCCTAGGGGGAGAAGATGGCTCTCTGTACCAACAATATAACAGACTTTACAGTAAAGGACATGGTGGCAGGCTCAGATGATTACACGAATCTGGTAGGAGCATTTGTATGCCAATCAACTATTATTCCTTCTGAAAGTAAGGGTTTCCGAGCAGCTTTATCATCACAGTCCATCATTCTGGCAGACACATTTTTAGGTAAGCTTCATTTCATTCATATATGCATGTATAAAACTAGGGTACTGATAACCTGCCATAGCATTGGTTTTTATCATAGATGATTAAAGCCCACAGGTAATTCTAAATCATCACTTTTTGACATGGTTAAAAAGCCCCTACAAGTGAGGTCTAGTCATTAATCTCAGTGAGTACAAGGAACTTCTGAATTTATGTATTGACTCAGATGTGATATGTGTTTTCTGAGAGTTGGCCTTATATCAGATCCTTTAGGAGTTTAAGAGACAAAATAACTTAAAACACCAAAACTAGAAAGAAAAGAACAGTAAACAGACACAATATAAACCTAAATTATAATATCTGTCATCAGTTTTCATCATGTTTTTCATACCAGAAGTAAGTTGGTGACAAGTAGCAAAGGTGAATGTGTTGAGTTTTATTCCCTGTCTGCTTGTCTATCTCTGTGGTGTCAAGAACATAGGAATATTTTAAGAAGAATTCAGGTTCCTGTTAATAATTCACAGGGATCAAATTCATGAGACTTTTTGGAGTGGGGCTTAGGAACCTAACAAGGCATATAACAATCTAACAAATCTAACAAGCTTCTTAGATGATTCTAATATGCAGCCAGATTTGAGAACCGTTGCTATGGGTTCCAGAGGAATTGAGCTTTACTTTTCAGCACCAAGGTCAGTTACTGAGCTTGTGCTCAGCATAGGAGCTGTGTCAGAAGCAAAGGTCGCTGTGATTGCTTGCATTTTGGCTCTGCCATCATTTTGTTCAGGGAAAAAATGCCTTACTTTTAGATTAAGAAAATTTTGGAGTTATTTTTGGAAATTATTAGGGTACAAGAATCTTTTTTTGGGTCAAATATGCCTGTAATGAATGTGAAAGGAAAGCTGTATTAGCAAAGTTGCCCAGCTCATTCGACAAAACTCACCAGAGGCTGAGAAGTATAATAGTGGATTGTTCAAATGTTAGAACTGGAAGAGACTTTAGAGATATTGTAATTATTGCATGCATTTTACAGATTCAGGACATAAGAGCCAAGGAAGTGAAGTGACTTAAGTAAAATTACAAAACTAGGGTATAGAATCTTTTTTTTATCCATAGACTGTGGAAAGTTTCTTATTGTCATATTAATTTAATACAATATTTCTGCTAAAATGACAGTATAAAAGTAAAGCTATTTTCTATTCAGATATACAGAGACTAAATAAACTTAATTTTCCCATATTGCTCAGTAATGTCTTTTTTATTGCCATGTAGGAGTGACAATTGAAACCACACTGCAAAATATTAATATAAAAGAAGATATGTTCCCAGTTCCACCGAGCCAAATACCAGATGTGCATTTCTTTTACAAGTAAGTGAAGATGCTGTTTCCCTTGACAGTTTTTTTTTTAATCAAAAGAATGTCACTTCAGGGTGCCAGCATAGTAGCTTATAATTAATAGATAATCAGCAATTGGTTCTTAAATAAAAGACTTAGTAAAAAGTAGGAAACATGGAATAGTTTGAAAGCCTTATATAATTTTGCTCATATATATATATTTTATATTTAAATATAAAAAATATATTATATGTTGCCTAATTTATAATATTTTATACAATTTATATTTTGCCTAATTTATATAATATTTTAAATTAGGCAATACTGCCTCTATTGTGTAGGCAGTACTTATTTATAACTTATACAACTAAACATCAGCCTGAGCGGATATGACATTTTTCCCTGCTGGAGGCTAATTCCAGCAGGTCATAAATGCAAGTTCATCAGAAGGTTGATGGAATTTAGGCTTCAGCAGGGCTAAAGATCTACATGTTATTGCCTGCTGCCAGACAGCTGAGGGCAGTTCCCCCAACCTGATGGTCCTTTACTCTTTACCAAACCTGACCTTTGATACGTATATCTGCTTTGCTATAGGGCAAAATGTGGGAATAAAAAGCCTTGGGCCCGGAGATTGGGGAGCTGAGTTACTAAAGCTAAGCCTCCCCTGACTCCCACAAAATGCCTCCCAAATTTATATTTCATGTCTAGTCTCTTTGTTAATTTGCGTCGCAGCCCTTTCTCCAGATTCCTGAACCCTAAGAGATGCGAATAAGACCCCGGCATTTCCCTTTAAAATTTCTTTTGATTATAATTTTGATTTTAATTATAGAAGCTTTACTAAACACCTTGATAATAGCTTATCACTTTACCTGAGAAAATAGTAAACTTTTTATAGTCAGTAAAAGAAAATGAGCTTAATTTGTATTAAAATTATAAAGTAGTGAACTTTGATTCCTTTTCCACTTGTTTATATAGCATAGGAGTTTTTATATGGAGGATATTTTTGTCTTTGTAATCTGTGTCATATATATTTTGTAAAATGATATGTGCTTTACAATAGGTCTTCTGCAACTACAACATCTTGTGTTAATGGCCGGTCAACTGCGGTGAAAATGAGATGTAATCCCACTAAACCGGGAGCTGGAGTGATTTCAGTCCCCAGGTAACCCTACTCTAAATGATTATTTACATTTGTATGTATTATGAGGAAGCAAAACTCTAGCATCTTAATATTTTAAAACATATTCTCTATGGATGTAAAGCAGAGAACAGAAGACTCTGTAGATTTTGGTTGTAGGTTACACTGAGTGCCTATTAAGAAGTTTTGCTGTGCCCAGCCGGCATGGCTCAGTGGTTGAGTGTCGACCCATGAACCAAGAGGTCATGGTTAGATTCCCAGTCAGGGCACATGCCCGGGTTCCTGGCTCTCTCATCATTAATGTTTCTACCTCTCCTTTGCCCTCTCGCTTCCTCTGAAATCAATAAAAAATATTTAAAAAAGAGGTTTTGCTCCATCTCAGTATTTCCCAGTCTCCTCAACAATATATTCTCCTCTGTTTGCCTGAGTGTCTAAATCTCTTAAAAAATTGCTTAGGTAATATATAGTTATACTGTTTCTATCCTTGTACTTATTCATACTGTTTAGCCTTAATTTCTTTGAGAGCTGGATTAGGAACTTTTCTGGGTGATCATTCTTTATCAATAATGAACAATTGGGGTAATCTAAATGGAAATAATCTAACCTCTGAGTCATAGTTTCTTTCTCTGTGAGGGT